AGTTCTTCTAATGCCAACATAGATCATGAGCATATGTATTTTCTTCTGTACTAGCTCAACAAGCATGCCTTTCCCAATAAATCCAAAGGGGTGAATGTCGAATGGATTCCTTTGGTAGAAGCCCTTCATAATTTTGAAGATGTAGCCATAGGTTCCTTCTTCCTTTCTCACTTTTATCATCTCATTTTTTAGATGACTCGGGGTGAACCATTTGAGACCAACCTTAATGGGCCAATCTGGATGATCCAATTATGGTTGCAATGGTACTTCCCAGAGTTTTGGGCAGTTAACTTGGAGTTCTTAGAGGGTGTAACCCCTGCCCGAATTTTAGCCAAAGCTCCCCTACAGATCATTCAACATTTGCTTGCTTTTATTTTTTTAGAGTCTGCAGGACTTGGGCAGACTTAGAGTAAGGAGCATCTGTTTTTCGCAGATCCGTGGTTTCTTGATCAAACTTTCCAAGATGCTCTTGGAGAGGATGCTGACCCTTCATGTAGAGAGAAATTTATCAGCTGTATTCAATTGCGGGATTTAGCCTAGGGAGTTTGCAGCGATCGTTATGAACGTGGGCTGGAGGTTTATCATCACAACTTATGTATTAGACAACTAGGCTTTAGGCAAGCTATTCCAATCCCATTTTTTATTCTATTCATTGTGGTACCTCATACCGCCTCCCATCTCCTTAAGAAGATATTTTTCGACCTACCTGTTGTAGCCTTGAGGTTATGAGCAAGGTTGCCCGAAAATGTTTGGTCCTTAATTTTGAGTGTACTTCATCTTTTTCTTCTTGATGGGAGGTGAAATGGATCAAGAAATATGGAGGAGATATGGGGGAAGCTCATGACCGTGTCTTAAGCTAACTTTCTTTCAAAATTTTTCCTAGTTCGGGTGAACTTGAAAGTTGGAAAGAAATGGTTTCTCGAAAGAATCAGCTTCTTTTGATCGGTACTTTCTGTTCTCTCAATTCATTCTTTATAAAAAAAACTTTATACATCAATGATTCTTTAACTCTTCATTCTTTTCATTCCCTCCAGCCTAAAGGACCACAGAAACGACAGACGTCGGGTTAGAAGAAGAATCTGCCGACACATTGATTTTTCAAGAAGCTACAAATGAAGCTAAAAGGCGAGAGATTGGAGGAGGTGGGGATACCTCCGACCTTTTTGGAGACTCAGAGGCTGAGGGAGAGTCCAAAATAAGTACTCGGGCCCTTAAACGGTCACAAACAGTTGTGATAGATACTTCTTATTATGATCATGAATAACGACTCAAATCTAAGCGGGCAACCCCAACCAGGAGAAATACGAGAGCCCAAACCTCCAAGTTTTCCAAAGCTACTTCTGCTTCAAAGACCTCTACTGCTGCCATGGGTAAGAAAAAACAGAAAGCCCCCAGTAAGTATATTTTGCCTTAATCTTTCATTCATACCTCACGCTTGGGAACCAACGGTTTGGTCTTTCTTGTAATTAGGACATTCGATATCAAAAAAGCCCTTTTGGTTTTAAAGGACGCGCCATTGGATGTAGAAAGGCAGTGAAGGGCTAAAGATCACCAGGATGCGGTCCTTGAAGAATTAGAGGTATAGACTGCCCCCATTTTTTCTTAGAATTCTTTCCTCTTTTTCTTTTTCTGATAACTCTTTTACTCGATTATCTATATTAGGAGATTCAAGCAGAAAAGATCTCTCCGCTTGAAGCTTCTTCTCCTTCAACCCGATTAAGGCAAACCCCTTTTTTCCAAGCAAAACCCACCCCTTTAGAGGTGACTCCAATTTCTCAATTTGATCATTCAACTGAGCAGATGATGCATTATGTGGAGGATGACAGTGATTTGGTAAGTATCTGTTCCTAACATCCTATGCTCAAAACTTTTTTTTTCTGAACTTACTATCCTTCAATATTTTCAGCCTGCCCTGGTACAGGAATTTCAGTACGCACCAACTTCTACTTTTGGAGAACCGATAGTTCTTGAGATTCCTGTAGCGTCCGAGGTGACCAATCCACAGGTTTCTCAGCCTCAAGTTCCTCTATAGGTATATTTTTGCTTTGAATCTTCTTGCTTTTCTTTTCTTTACAGGTTAGTTACTGGCTTTCACTTCTTCTTCTACTTTTGTAGGCTTCTGTTGAGGTCTCGGGTATCATCTCTCATTCACCAGTAGGTAGAGATAATCTCTCCCAACAAACACAAGAAATTACTCCCCCTCCCCCTCTTTCTAAAGCTTCGGGCTTATCTCAGGTGTATTGACCTTTTGTATTTTACCTTTTCCTGGCTTGAACACTTATCTTTTATCATATTTGTCTTGGTTGCAATAGGATCTCGCAGAGGGTTCGGGCAAGTCCCCTCCGCGCTTGGTGCGTAAAGGAGATCTTCCACATCTTTCTTCGGTCTTCGAGGTTATAAGGGCCTCGATCCCCAATTCTGAGCAGCGAGCCAAGACTACTGCAGCAACTTCTTCTACTTCCACTCCTGCTTCTGAGGACCTTTCCATTCTACCTTCTAAAGTTGTCCCTGCTGTTACAACTGAAAGTGTCAGAGACATGCCTCCAGCTTCATCAACAACATCCTTGCCATATTTGTCTTGGTTGCAATAGGATCCCAGAGAGGGTTCGGGCAAGTCCCCTCCGTGCTTGGTGCGTAAAGGAGATCTTTCACATCTTTCTTCGGTCTTCGAGGTTACAGGGGCCTCTATCCCCAATTCTGAGCAGCGAACCAAGACTACTGCAGCAACTTCTCCTACTTCCGCTCCTGCTTCTGAGGACCTTCCCATTCTATCTTCTAAAGTTGTCCCTGCTGTTACAACTGAAACTGTCAAAGACATGCCTTCAACTTCATCAACAACATCCTTGCACAATCTAGTGAAGAAGTTTGGCCAGATAAAAAACAAATTGCAATCTCCTCCAACATTTTTTGAGCCCCCTTCATTTCAGCATGCTCGCAAGCTTTTCAAGGATTGGACAAAAAGGGCTTCACAGCTTCTTTTAGTCTTAAGGTCCTTTATGATGCAGAAAAAACCCTTTTTGAACTTCACCAAGCTGAGTTGCTGCCCCCAGCTCAGTACAAGTCTTTTATGAGTTTCTTCGAGAATTTGCGGGCATTAAGGGATCAGCATCTTAAGGCAGAGCGAGCATCTAATAGAGTAAAGTGCTTTCAAGAAAAGCATGTGAAGAGTACAACCGTGCTCCGGCAATTGGTAGAGGATGAATCAACAATGGAAGCAAGGATCACAGTGGTTGGTTTTGAAATTCAGAGTTTGGAGGAGCAATTGTCATTACTTAAAGCTGAAAAGATGACCCTCACCAACCAACTCTCCCAGAAAGTAGAGGAGATGGAGAAAGCCTTTCAAGAAGTTGAGGACTCCGAGAATCAACTAGTGAATAGCAATATGTACTTAGGAGAGCCATGTAGAATTTTTGTTGTTATGCAAACTTACTTTTATAGAATAGTTGCTTTAGCCGAAGATGTAAAGTTGTTGGGTTAAGATTTCTATAATCCCCTTATGAAATGAAATGTTCTTTAATCCGAATCCTTATTTTTGAGTTTTTAATATCAGAAGTTTCTTTCCTTCTTTCTATTCTTTGATCAACTCTTGATAGATTATGGTTTCTGCTAGAGACACATTTATCATGTGTTTCTGTTGGTATTGATTTGTACAAACATCCACCCCTTTATTACAGCTGCTTTGGACTTGTTGGGTAGTTAGAGAACTCCCTCTATAGGCTTATTCATCCTACCTTTATCTCCCAAGTGGCATTTTTCTTCTCATTCCTGGCCCATGTTAAGTTGATCATGTTGATTAGGGTTTCTAGGAAAGGATCTGTGTCAATCATCATGTTGGTCTGAGGTTTCTCTAATAGCCACTTCCCTTTAATCATGAGATCTTATATCCAATCTCTGAACTGGACACAATTGGCGATAAAGTGGTTGAAGGTGTGGTGTAGCTTACAATACTTTTTCCCCTTTAACTCCTCGGGTTTAGGCTGTTTTTTAGTACTGTCAGTCACAATCACTTTTGCTCGTACTAGCTCCTCATCTATTTCTGCAGCTTTGGTTAAGTCAAAGGAATAACTCTGGTATTTCGGAGGTTTCATAGGGATAAATCCTCTATCATTCATCACTACCTTCTAATCTTTGACTGGTTGGACTAATCCCTTTACTATCAAGGGTTTAAAGGGAGTGGTCATCTCTGGTGCACACATGTCTATTGCTTCTCTAAGTTCTCTCCCATGACCATCATTTTCTTCTAGTCGCTCTTTGAACTCTACTTGGTGAATGACAACTTTATTTCGGTAGGAAGGTGGTGCTTTAGAGGAGTGTTTCAATTGTTGTTCTTTAAGTAACAGCTTCTCATATTTGGTAGCAGCGATCACCAACTCTTGCAGTTCATTAAACTGTACATCATAAAACTTCTTCTTCAAGGGTAGCCTTAAGGCTTTCTGAGCAATAGCTATGAGTTGGATATGGTTAATGGGAAACTGGCATCTCATCCTCGTCCTTCTAAACCTCATAATGAAATCTTCCGTAGATTCATGCTCATATTGTTTCACTTCGACTAGATTGTTAATGGTCATTTCTGGCTCCATCCTGTAAAGCTGCTCGTGGAAAGCCATCTCCATTTGTCTCCAGTTGGCGATGAAATTTGGGGGTAACAAAAAGTACCATTGAGATGCTAACACTACCAATGAATTCCCAAATAACCTCATCTTATAATTGGGATTGTCTTCGAACGCCACACAATGGTTGGAGAATTTGAAGATGTGATCCCTGGAGGACACACTAAAGATGTGATCTTTGGGCTTCTCTTCCTGACAGTCCAAAGTTCAAATATTAACCCAAACAACAGGCACGATAAAAAGTTGTTCAACCTCAATATAAAAGTGATTGGGAAACTAGATGAGAACTACATCACCCTTTATCCATTTTCAGAAGATTTTTCATCCTAAATTAAAGTGAATTAATAAACTGTAATCATAATTAGGCCAATTAAAGCAAAAGGCAACAGCTTGCTCTTATATTTTCTTTTCTCTTGGTCTTGGATACCAAATATGCTTCGTGTAGACATTGTTAATGTTAATAAAGGAGATTAAAATCATTGATTATTTTCAGATATTATAAATGCATGTCTGGGATAATATACAAAAATAGCAAGCATGACAACGAGATGAAAAATGAGAAGATGGTGGAGGTGGATGAAAGTGGCGGCTGTGGAATACGGCTGCTTCCCGACATGTCATCCGTATAGTCTGGACCTGAGCCTAAACCATTTCCGTCGCCGTTCGAGCTCCACTTCCCCAGGTTGTTGTCCCTGCCCAATCAAAATTGCATTAGGCATTGTCACATTTTTTTCAGAATATAGTATCGCGTACAAGTTTTACCATTTCAAACCAAGAAGTCACCACTAATTATAAGTTAACATGATGAACGAATGAGTTCAGTAAATACTTCAAGTTAAATAGTGTAAATTAATTAAAGCTAGGCTTAAAAAAATGAGTATGTACTGTGTATTTCGGAGTGCTCTAGCTTGTGGAATTCTTATGCTTATTGCATATTCATTTGTAAGTTCTATACGAAAAATCCCTACCAGTACGAGGTAATAACGAATCTTTGACCATCCAAAAAGCACTTTGTTTATTTTAACTGAAAAATACCAAAAACGCTTTTGGTAATTAGAAGGTATATATATGTATAGCTTTGAAAAGGAAAGTGATTTCTGCAATTTTTTTTAACCATTGCACTCTCCCATCTCCCTCCTTTTTTTTTTTTTCCCCTAGCCATAATATATTAAATTGAAAACTAAAAAGAAAATTGTGCAGAAAAAAAAAAAAGTGGAAATCATTTTTTCTAAAAAAAACACACTTCAATCACAATAATAACTACTCAACACCCGATTCTCTCTCTATATCACTCTTAACATATGGATTGAGAGTCATTTCAATTCTCTTCAGTAAAAGGTACAAATTGGGATCATTTTGATGGGTGGAGTATCTAAGAAAGTGAAAAAATGCTACTAAGTCCTAGGATGACCCCAACCCCAAACGGAGTAAATCTAACTTTAATTAACTTCAGCCTGAATTCAACCCATGCACCGTAAATTTGGCATGAACTAGTGGGAAATTATTGAACAGTAAAGTGAGTTCATAGCCAATTAGGAAAAGTAAAAGGATGTAAAAAGAGAGACAAAAAAGTGCAGAGAGAGAAAAAGAGCAACAAGGAAAAGAAAGAGACCTGCCACCAACACCAAGGGCACCAGCATGCATGATGAGTTGGTCAATAAGCGCAGCAGACTTGGGCTCCACACTGTAGGCCTTCTCATAGTTAAGCTCCACTCCCTCCCCAGATGCTACAAAAAATGCTCCGTTTACCATTATGTCCCCCTCCGATCTCCAGTTCCAGTTCCTCCACTTCCCTTCCGCCGTCTCCACACGCTTTGTCACCTCCTTGGCGTTAGGGTTTGACGGAGCAGTGTAGCGGTTGCCCTGGCTGTTAATTGTAGGGTCTCCACTGCCTCCGATGGCGTACATTTCCCATTGGGTGAAGTCGTTGTTGACCACGTGGATGTAGCCCCTTCTACACCTAGGCACGAGAATTCGAGAGTACATCAATATACAACATACATTTCTCAATTTAGCAGTTAGATGTATGGTCAAAATTGAAAAGAAACCCTACGGATTAATCTGAGCCGCTTAAAAAGTAATGTATGCTAAACAATGTTTGATCTATAATAAAAGGACTAACCTAGGCATTCTCTGCACCAACTTTTCTCCAAAGTGATTGAAGGATATGGTGACTTGCATTCCAGAGTCGGGCAAGTAGTCATCGCTGTGACCAAGCAGCATGACTTCGTTGTGATGAGAGAAATAATTGTTTGATATTGTTATTCCTGTGGACCCCATCACTGCATCTATCAGTCCATCCTTGCAGTGTGATAGGCTACAATGGTCTATCCATATGTCTTTGGATCCAAAGATGGAGATCCCATCGCCGTCTGATTCTGTGCGAAAGCCGTAGTGAGTTGGGCTGGAACGCACATTAGCCTGACCTGCATAGTCGCCCAAACAAATTACTAATAATATTTTGAAGGACTAGATAAATTAAAACTAGGCGCAACAATGTAATCATTCGTAAACTATGTGTATCTTAACACAAATGAGATTAAGGTAAATCCTAAACTAAAAAAGAGTAATCTTGATATTATGTAAAGTCAGATAAATATTAGGTGAACGCAAATATTTACAATTATCAACAAAGCACATTTATTATGAAAATGGTATATACCAAATAAATCTGGATACATCAAAGGGCCCCCTATTTCTTTTTAGAAAAAAAGAGAATTAATCGTGGGACTTACTACACATTGAACCTCAACAATCTGAACCGTCTATTTTGTAAGTCTCGATTAGTAGATCATCCTTGCAAAAAATTAATTCAATCAGAAAGCATTTGCCTATTTAACTATCACGATGAAATTTCATTGTTTCTTATAGAACAAAGTGTTCGTTAATTTTTTTCAACTCAATTAGATATCTCAAATATTTCCGATTTGGCTAATAGTTTGCAAGAATGAGCTATGAGGTGCAACTTGAAAAATAGGCGGTTCAAATCGTTGAAGTTCGTTGTGATATGGACCCAACAACTAATCCTTGTTTAAAAAAAAAATGAAAATCTCTTCCCTTATAGCCTCTCCTGTTTGGAAAACTAAACTACATGTATCAGCAAACCATGCGCACTAGGTAAAATGGGTGTGTATCAAACAAATCGAGATACATATTGAAAAAGTTAAAATACGTTTAACAGAAAGTATATTAGGTAATCTGAAACAGGTACAATTATCAACAAACAACACACATAGGTAAATCGAGTTTTCCTTGCACATGAGACAAAATATTGGTGGCCAATTAATTATGGCAGATAAAAATTCATGTACCTGACTGATAACAATGGTGGATATGCACATTGTGGATGATGACATTGCTTATGTACTGCAGAGTGATGCATCCACCACCAACAATGTGGACATTCGCTCCGCGGCCATCGAGGGTTTTGTAGCTGTTGAAGATAAGTTCTTGGGAGAGCTTGATGAGCATGTTGCGAGGGAACACAATCCAGAGAGGCTCAGTCTGAATCACAGCATATCTGAGAGTGCCTGGCTTCGGAGTCACCGCGTCGTCATCTGAGTCGTCCGTCACAATGTAATACTCACCCCCTTTGCCTCCATGAGCATATTGACCAAACCCTATTGCACAATCTGCCAGGCTTTGCCTGTTGTTTGGCCAATCCGGATCACATTTCCAGCAGTCGTCTATCGGGTTTCCGGTCAGGCACGTAGAATCCAGATTGTCTTTCTGGGTTGTTTGCAGCATTTGCCTTCTTTCTAACGAAGCATTAACCTTCCTGAAAACACACAAAAAAATTAGGAAAAAATACGGTAAAAATTTATCACTTAGATCTAGGAAAAGGGTAAGAAACAGAGGAAGTAAACGAAGCTATATATGTACCTATTAACTTGTAGAACAACTTCATCTGGGTTGGGATGCTGACCAGGGAGAGTGAGGTTGAGGAATGCAGTGGCAAGAGGGGAAAATGAGGTGAGAAGAGAAAGCAGGACAATGCAGGTTCTGGGGATCATTTTTTAGGTAATGTTTGGAGGGTTTTTGATATTTTGTTGGGAATTCTATACCAATTTGGTACAAGAATGTGTGTAGTTAGGGTTTATGGAGTTGCATGGTTATTTGAGAGGATAATAAACAGTAACTGAGTTGTACATTGTGATTCATGTATGTAGTGAATTTTGGGTGTGTTTGAGTGGAGAAGATGGGCACTTGCTTCTTCTCCCACTCTCATCTTTCTTACTGTATCCGTTAGTGTCATTTCAGTGTTGTTCTTTTATAATCATTGATATAGACTTTGGGATTTTCACTTGATGGAGGTAAAGAGAGAGAGAGAGAGAGAGAGAGAGAATCACTAGAATGGAATCCGCCTGCTCTCGAGGAAACGGTCTCCAAGTTACTTTTTCCGGCATTACTTGCAATGGAGATTAGTACTGTCATTTTGTGATGCTATTGGAAGAGTAAATGTGTTTGGAAATACATTAACGATTCTTTGTCAATATAAATACATTGATTATAGTTCACTTTTAATGAATATAATCACACATCTAAATTACAATAGGAGATAGAATTTGGTTGACGCTAGTGCAAAGAAAAATTGCAAATGGAGAGTGGTGTAGTGTCAAATTTTAATATCAAATCGACATACATGTCACATGATATTGTTACAGATGCAAAAAATTCTCTATTATTACCACTCCAATAGCACTTTTGAATGGTTGGTGTCATTCTTTCAAATTACAAAATGTTATATTGGAATAAGCAAGTTTGAGTCTCCGTATATTAAAAAATTAGACTCTAAAATGAAAAAGAGCACATCCTACTTGTCATCCAGTACACAAATCAACCAGCTGCCAAAATTTCTATAGAATGGTTGGTGTTCTTCTGAATATTTAATTAAGTAGGAGTGATAGATAGTACACAATGATTAACCGTGAGGAGTAAAGTTGTGCTCCAAATACAACATGTTTTATAATGCCAATTTGCCAAACAGCTTGATACTATAGACGAAGAGAAATTTTCAGTGTATCAGAAACACGGTCTGATATATTAAGTATCATAATATAAGTAGTTGAAAGTTTTTTTTTTAAGGAAAACTAACGAAAAGTCTAAAAAAACTTATCTTTTAACGAAAAGCCCCTTTTAAAGGTATAGTGAATAGTGCCAGTTAAAGGTAAAAATGTGGTTTTTCGTTAAAATTGAATAGTACCGGGAGTGTTTTGTTAAAACTCTTTTTTTTTTTTAAGAGGATCCTCTGGATCCTACAATCGTGTCCGTTTATTGTACTTCGTATGGTCAGTTTTCGTTAGGTATTATTTATATTTGAATTTTAAATTTTAAATGATTTTTTACCACACAATGTACGATAAATGAACACGATTGTAGAATTCTTAGAAAACCCATGATCCTTTTCCTTTATTAAGTATCCAACCACTTGTATAATTAAATTTTTTTTTCCTAGACTAGGTGGCTTTTAGCTAGATCTAATGGATTGCTGACATGGCACTAGCGAAATGGACCATTATGCTAGGGTTATGCGATATGGAAACGTTGGCAAAGAAGTTGGTATCTCGTGGTGTCTTTTTGACTTTTTGGACCTTACTCAAACCACGGTTGAGGGCTGTGCACTGCCCAAGTTCTGTCTTCAGGTCGTACAGTGTCAGCTTTCACCACATTTTCAACATCATATCTGTTTGAAGCTCCCCCGTTCATACGAGGATAAAGACTTCTATAATACAGATAAACCTGAATGTAACGTTCCATACTAATAATCCAACATAATAATGTTATGTAGTTTCTCTTCACCTATTATTATATAATATTGATCTTGACAAGAAGCTCTAGTTCTAACACACCATGAACAAGAATATTTGAGTACTGTAAAAATAATTTTACTCATGTCTAATATTTTTTCTTTAATTTATCAAACAATAAAAATAAACATGAATGTGTAGGAGAAAAGAAATGAGTGTGCGGTTCACTTTCCTACTATTGGGACGAGTAGATTATGTTCTTTTTTGAAACAATCATCCATAAATTAAGCTGTATAAATACAGTACTTTTGCTTCCTTTTCATTTGGTTTCAACAGTTATTAGTCCTTTTCCCCCAGCTTTCATCCATGCCAGTTACGAATCCGATTGGTTAATTCAAAACCCAGTTGAACAAACCGCGTAGAAACTAATTAAATAAAGGGCCTACATTATAAAGTGCACATGCAGATCAGTATCACCAGCAACCAATGGTAGCGGATGGAGCCTCCTCCCGCGGGATCCGGGAACAAATTGATTAGCAAACAGAGTCTCCGGTCTTCCATCTTTCTTCGACAGGAGTGGTCCACCAAAAGGAAAAAGATGAACTTGGCCTTAGATATAATTATAGCAAAGATACATACATGGATGCTGTTATCTGCTTTATTAATTAGTTTTCAAATGACCTAATCTATTCAACCTAAAATATATTCCCTACGTTGTTTTGTGCTGTCATTATTAGATTATGCTACCTTTGATTTCCTTTTTTTTTTTTTTTTTTTTTTTTTTCTCTTTGGTCTAATCTTTATCAATCTATGTATATACTTTTACTTCGCTGCATGGTTTCTTATACATCCAAAATCTCCACTGCAATTTATAGTTTTTAGGCTATTTTAGTTTGCTTAAGCTCGTCCAAAAATGGACGTAAACACCTATAATCTTTTAATGTGAACTTTTGTTAGAAAATGTGTAAGAGCTGGTTTGGGATTACATTTATAAGAAACACTTTATAAGTGTTTTTATTAAGTATAAATGTCAAACAATTCAAGTATTTTATAAAAATAAAAATAAAACACACTTGGGGTTGGGATGTGCTTATTTACCCAACAGATTCTTCTCCCGAAAATATTTGTATGACCTACAATGCTTTTATTTTTTTTTTGCCATGTATAGTTAAAAGTGATTTTTATTTGCGAAAATCACTTTTATTCATTTCAGAAGTAGTCCAAAACAAGCGTTAGCTCAAATTATATAATCTGAAATTGAATGAAGTGATCCTCTAATTGTAAAGTGACATATTTTACTAAAGTGCATTGAGATACTGTGAGAAAACATCACACACCTAGATGGAATGCAACTCTCTTGCCAATCACTAACTCAGCTTGTTAGCTGCATAAGTCGTGTACAATATCATGCACTAACGTAATCTACGCACCAGTTCATCAGATTCTCAAATCAGACAAATGGGATGTCCATTGTTGAATATTTATGTTAGAAAGGAGCTATAGTCATATTCCTTTCCTCTCCAACATGCAAAGCAAAGCAGAACACCCTCGATCAACTTTAACTGCATACCATTGGCCCACTCATCGTTCTGTCAAAGGATTTAAAATGTAACCCTACAGACCCACCATTTTTTGGGTTTAATGAGCAAAGCAGAACGCCCGCCCTGGAAATGTTAATCCAATCTATAATCTATCAAGTTTTGTTCTTTGATCAAAATCTCTTAGAAGTTCAAAGTATATATGCAGCAGGCAAATCCCTTAATTTTGAGTTTATTTATTTTATTTTTATTTTTAAAGGAATCTGTCAATTTGCAAACTAATTTTGTTTTTTTGAAGAGTTTGGGATTCAAAGAACTATTTTGATGGACCAAATTACCCTCATAGTCAAAGTTCTATACATCCGAGTCTAACACTTTAATGGGTTACTTTCCACACCAATTTGTGCACAAAGATCAAATTTTAACATCATGTACGTATTTCGGAGTGGGAGCTTTTAGAATTTTTGTTTTTGACCCAAAAACATGTTGAAATGTGAATTTTCTCATCCGAAGTGTTAGATTTAACTTACACGTGATACTTTAGATGAAATGTGTAAAATTCGACAATTAGAGGGTAATTAACTAATTAAAAAAGTTGAAGTCCTATGTTTTTTGATAAAGTTGGGGGAAAATAAGATGGCCATAAATTTCAAAGAATAACTTAGCTACTCAAATGATGAGTATGAATTCATACGCAAAACTGTTCATTGTCCTTTTATTGAATATTGTGTTTAAATCGGAATCGTTCATATTATAACTTACTCTATAAATATCGCATCTCCAAAAAATCAAGTAAAACTAAGATTGTTTAGTAATCGAATTGTATAAAAACAAATGAACGGAATTGATAAAAGCATTACGAGCCGTATATGTATTTGCTACAATAGATTGACTAAATGACCTTAGTTTTAATTCATTTTTTGCATAGATGATCTTTAGAAAGTGATTCATAATATGAACAGTTCTGATCATAAGCACAATTCTCTGTGATTCGAACATAAAAAAATTTTGAGTAGGAATTCCTACTCGTCTTTGAGTAGCCAAACATTATTCAATTTCAAAGGGCCAATTAGTAAAACCACCTCTTTTATTCCATCTGTCACCTCTCTAGCTTTTGATAAAAAATCTAAAGAATATTATGTCTCTTCTTTTCTACAAAAACGACTTAAAAGAAAATATTTGGGAATGTATAAAGAATTTTCTTTTGAATAATGTTAATATACAAAAATTCTTCTTGAATAATTGGGATAGTGAATATTTCATGCCTCATCGGCCCACTAATAGGTAAGTTTGATGACCTTTTTTATTATTATTACTTTATTTTAAGGTCCCACACCTTTGACGGAAAGGAAGATTATCATGCTAGAGGTTCTGGATTTAGATTCCAAATGTATATGTCTTGCCTTGTGTTAGCTTTGGTCTTCAAGTCGCTCAGTAGTAGTCCATTTATAATGTTGACCTCTTGTATTTAAAGGAGTTTCTTTGTCTTTCCTTCACAAAAAAGAGGGAGGGATTTGAGATTTTATGTGGCTTATAATATTGGAATTGATGATTTATTTTGTGATAAAATGCTTGTTTCTTGCAGGGTAGTTGGTTTTGCAGGATGTTTTATAGAAAGAAGGTTCAAGTTCAAGGGATTAGTATTTCGAACCATGTCGTCATGCAATGACTCAACACCTTTTCACCTTTAAACCTTCATTAGGGTAAAGGTTTTGTCAAGGTAAGCCAAAGTGTGAGATTAAATTATAGGTTATTAGTGTTATCTTACTTGACTAAAAAACCTCAAATGAAGTGCTTGCAGACTTTCTTCCATCCATCTGTAATGTTTCTACTACCATCTATGAAGATAATGACGCTTGTATTGTCCAAATGAAGAAATGTTACATCAAAGGAGACAATACCAAGCATATTGCACCAAAGTTCTTCTCCTCACATCAACAACAAGAGCATCAAAAGAATGAAGTCAAGCAGATATGATGCTAAGACAATGTTG